GGCGCTCAAGTTCGCCTCCGGATACCCCGCGCATGGCAACTATTGCCGAGCGCTCGGTCAGTTTTGAAGATGATGCGGCCTACGATCTGGACACCAAGGAAGATGATGAAGGTGCGGATGATTATGATGACCAGGAGGAGAAGGCGGCAGTGCCGAAGATGGCAACGCCGGACACTCCTGAAGGCGCGATGGTGCGGACGACTCGCAGTGGTGGAGTGAAGTCTCTTGCGTGTAACTTGGTGGATGAGTTGGGCGAGGTCGCAGGACCGGAGCCAGCATATCCAGATGATGATGGTGATGATGATGTGTCCAAGTTACCCCGGAACACGGGAAGGGACGCTATGAAGCCTCGGGGCAACCACCCTCCTCTCAACGGAGACACCCCGATTGCTAACAAGGTTCTAGGGCGGTGTATGGAGATGATGATGACGGAGAGTGTGTGGATTCCTATGTTTGCACCGGCCTCCGTCAAGCACGCTGGGTTGACGTCAGCAATGAGTTGGTCTGGCCAGTGAACTCAACGAGCACTCGCCAAGTTGCTGAGGACACGGTGTCACTTCTGATGGCGATGGGTTGCGAAGCGCAGGCGTATCCTACGGAAGCTGCCCTGAGAGACTGGTCACCGTCGGAAGCGGAAACGGATTTGCAGAAGTGAAAAAAGAAACTACGCATGGCCTTCGGAGCTACCAACTCACGTGTGCTGAGCTATGGGAACGAGTTCTCCGTGAACACGGCGAACGAGGTGAGACTATGGTAGACGGCGAATATGACGGGGAAATCCTGGATACCAGCGCCGACGATACTCCGAAGCCCGTGCCAGCGGACTCTTCGCGCCCGCTGTCTGCACAAACTCCTCCTACGCGTGGCGTACGACCAGGTGTTAACGAAAGGTGTACTGATGTGTCCATCGCTAGTAGCTCAGACGGTACTGCGGAAGATTGTGACAAGAACGAGCCGTACCCTATGGGTGACAGCGAAGATCCGGTCTCGGTATTGGAAAGAACTTATATTTCAGTCGCGAAAGTGCTGACTACGGAAGGCAGCGAGCCTACAGGGAATGGGGATGATGACGTTGTCGAGCACGAGCCAAACGTGGTTGAACTCGAAGACTATGCCCAAGAACTGGCATTTTTACCGGACTTCACCGAAATTTCGGTCACGGAGTTGGACTACTCTGCACCGAATGTTCAGAACATGGCGCTAGAGACGGTTCAGCAAAAGAGTCTGGTGGATGTGCTAAAGAATCACGAACGCATCATGATATCAAGTGGTAACGCGCTTCCTCAGCCTGCATACGGTGTTGTGTGTGACATTAACGTCAATGGTCATGCTCCGATAAAACAGCGAGCCCGTCGAGTGCCGCTTCGACACTTGCGGAAACTGTACGAGCTCATCAAAGGGATGCTGATGGCTGGGCTAATAGCATTTTCGGATAGCCAGTGGGCATCGCCAATTGTAATCGTGATGAAGAAGAATGGCCAAGATATCCGGTTATGCATCGACTACAAGATGGTGAACGCAATCACAGCGATCATGGAATATGCCATGCCGCTAGTTGATGATTTGCTGACTGATTTGGAGTCCTATCTCTGGTTTTGTTCTCTTGGCGCAGCCAGCGGATTCTGGGCTATAATGATGACACTCAGGGCGCGGAAAATTTCGGCGGTTGTCTGTGCAGTGGGGCACTTTGAGTGGCTTCGAATGCTGTTCGGCCTTAAGAACGCACCGATGATTTACCAGCGCATGATTGACAACGCGCTGTGGGGTTTTGTACAGCCTAAGGGCGGCTGGAAGAACTACGCGAAGCTCATGCAAGAGGCAGAAGAACAGTCAAAACAGCTACGAAGCATCAGTAGCGAGGTCTCGCCAGACCTGGCCACCGCCAAGACGAAGTTTGATCCAGACCGTGAAGCGTCAGTGACACTGGATCCAGTAACTCAGCTTATTAACAGTCCTATTGCGGACATGTTTGTTAGTGGAGAACCCGACGAGTCTACTCTAGTGCCAGTGTTCGAACACAGGTCTTTCGTTGACGATATTTGTTTCGGTGGAGAGACATTCGACAATTGTCTGGCTACTTTGGACCGTCTGTTAAGTCGCTTTGCTGAGTGTCGAATCAGCGTCAGTTTCACGAAAAGCATCTTTGTACAGTCGTGTGTGGACTTTCTGTCACATGAAGTGTCCCCAGCCGGTATCGGAGCAGATCCCAAGAAGATGGGCGCGATTACTGAATTGCCGTTCCCAACTACGAAGAAAGGAATGCAATCCTTCTTAGGTGCGCTGAACTATTACAGCAGGTTTATTCAAGATTTTGCGGTGTACGGAGCGACGTTATACCAGCTGAAGGACGAAGATTTCGGTCCCAGTGAAGACCTCACGGTGGCTCGACGAAGCTTCGCTACGCTGAAGCAGAAGGTAGCGGATGCACCTATCTTGCGACACTTCGACAGGGGCAAGATGTGCACATCATGTTTTTTGCCAACGAGTGGGCTCTAAGCACAACACTCATGCAAGAACACGAAGGCACGCTACATCCTGTCCGCTTCTGTGGTCGAGTTCTCAAAGAAGCGGAAATGAATTACCATACTGCCGAAAAAGAGGTGCTCGCGCTGCTCTTATTGCTGAAAGTGTATTACACCCAGTTGGCAGGGCGGACCTTACACGTCTATACGCGGTTTTCGACGCTCGACTGGGTACATCGTTCAAAGTCACTGTTTGGTCGAGCTGTTCAGTTCTCAGTACTGCTATCGCCATGGCACTTGAAGGTGAAGCGGGTTAAGGAGAAGGATTGCGCATTTGCTCAACTCTTACAGTCTACGATTACAAATTTCGTTGACCTCGAGGACTCGTTGGCATCTGTAGCGCCACCGACGAAAGGCTTGCCTACAGTGCGTATGGATCCGAACTTGCTCTATGCTCGCCTACCCAAGGACTACCGAGGATTCGTCATGTCTTTCGACGGATCAGCTAAAACAGAGAAGTTCGGAGGCTACGGGAGCTGTTCGTGGATTATTTGGCGACTCCCCGAATGGCAAATAGTGATCGCTGCGAGTGCTTATCTTGAGCACACAACAGTGAACCTTGCCGAATATACGGGAATGAACCACGGTGTATTAGCTGCTTTAGGGCACGGTGTCGAAGACTTGGTAATAGTAGGTGACTCAAGACTCGCAATCCAGCAATCCCTAGGGGTGATCGTGTGCAGGAAGGAGTCGATAATAGCTTTGCTGAATCGCCACAAAGAACTTACAGCGAGGCTTCGGTCTACAAAGTATCTACATGTAGTGAGAGAGTATAACGCTGCAGCTGACTCGTTGGCGAGCGAACCGCTGGAGACGAAAGTGTCGAAGGTGGTGCTCAGTTCGGACAGGAAGGCGGAGCTTTCTAGCCTAAACAGGATACCCGAAGTTATTTACAAATCTATTGACGCATGCTCCAACGACATAAAGGCGAGTTCCGACAATTTCGTTCAAATTCTGGATGCTGTGGAGTTGCCAAAACGCCGGACATTCGCGGATTTTGTTCGATCTGAGCGTGGCGAAGTCTCAGTGATGACAAGACGACAGAAGAAAGTACAGAAACGTGTTCGATTTGCTGATGTGACCCCTGCTGACAACCAGGATAAAGCAAGTGAGTAGAGACAGACACCAGAATCGACAATGGATACAACGACGCAACAGCAACCCGAAATACCAAATGCCAATGATATAGATCCCGTTGCGGTACAGGAAGAACGGCGACATCGCATCGCCAAGGCTCAAGACGAAGAAGTGCGGTGGTCCAACCTGAAGGCAGTGCTTCGAGGAGAGACTGACAAGCTTGCCTACAAGGTAGTTCGGAATTTGATGAAGATCGCCGACAAATTCGTGCTGACAGCTGACGATGTGCTCTACTACGTCGGTGCAAGACGTCGACGTGACAATGAGCGTGATCAGGATGTGCAACTACGGCTGGTTGTTCCGACGACGATGATCCAAGGAGTGCTACAGAACTGCCATGACTCTATCGAGGGCGGCCATCAGGGTGTGGTCCGGGCGTATCAACGAGTGAGACTGGATTACTACGGGTATGGCTTGTACGCGGACGTCGAGAAGCATGTTAAGTCATGTCCCGAATGCAGCTCAAGTAAAAGCCGACCTCAGTTACGAGGGTACTCTCCGGGCAACATTCTTGCCGAACGACCCTTCCAGATTGTGTCCATGGATTTTGTTATACCCTTACCGAGGTCTCGCCGAGGCAATACGGCGCTTCTTTTGTTCCAGTGTTCGTCTACTGGCTTCGTCATAGCAAGGGCAATGGCTGACACGTCTGCACTCATGGTTGCACAAGCGTTCGAAGAGTGCATTTACCGAAGATTTGGTGCACCGTCCCTAATCCGACATGATCGCGACCCTCGCTTCATGAGCGAGGTGTTCCAGGCATTCGCCGATATGATGCAGTCCAGGTCGCGCGCAACGCTAAGTTACAGACCACAAGCCAATGGCCAACAGGAAATGTCAGTCAAGACAGTGATGCAGTCAGTGAAAGTGTATGTCGAAGATCCATTACAACAAGACTGGGACGAGATTGCAGAACGGATGGTATTTGCGATTAACAACTCGTACGACGCGACGAGAAAAGAGACGCCATTCTTCCTCGTCCACGGATGGGACGCATGGTCGACACTGCATGCAATGACGTCTTCGTTACGCCGAGGCTCCGGGAAGCAATCTGACGCGTTGGCGTGGCGACGAGGAGTAAATAGACAGCACGAAATTGCACTAGAGATGGCCAAAGAATACCAAGCGGCAGAAAAGGAGCGAAGAGTCAGAGAGCACAATGATACGCTGAGCCGTAAGGAAAAGGCTGCAGTGCCTCAACGATTTGACGGTGAAACTGCCTGTCAAGATGGTATCGACAATGAGGGTAATGAGCAAGTGACTAAATCTCTGTTCGAACCTGGAAGTCGCGTCTGGCTGTATATGGAACGCGTTAAGCCTGGGCTTACCAAGAAACTCGCGCACCGATGGCATGGTCCGTTTAGAATTGAGCGCAAGGTCGAAGAATATGCATACGAGTTGGAACTTCCTGATCGGAGTGGATATCGCTTCTATCCGGTAGTCCATGTTTCCCGTCTCAAGGCGGTATGTGAGTTTGAAGACCGACCGAGGACTAGGTTACACGATGTAACTGAGGAGTCGCGTCTTGACTTCGACGAGGAGCTCCTGCCGGAAGATAGCTGGGAGCCTGATCGACTTGCTGGGGAAAGTGGAGTGAAAGCCATTCTCGACGATCGGATGCCAATGTCAACAAGGACTGGCCGACAAGCTGTACGCGAATTCAAGATTCAATGGGATGACCAAGATGAGCCTACATGGGAACCTATCACCAATCTGTCCTGTGGTGGCATGTTGTACGATTACTTACGGCGAAAGCGCAGTGAACATCGCCTCCAGATGGTCCAAGTCGCTGATGAAGACGAGAACTAGTTCACCATCGAATTGATGATGACCTGCCCTTGGGGCAATGCAGCCAAAGGTCGCAGACGAAAAATGCTACTGCAGCAACATTCATGTTACATTTGAATTGTGAATTGTGAACGAGCTCTGGCGATGGAAACGAATTACGAGAAAGATATGAATATTCCAGGTTACGTCGGCTAAACCTCAGGTACAAACTGCTACGAGCCTGGAATTATACGAATGAACGAGACTTACAGCGTCGCCGAAGCAGCAGCAGAGGCGAGTGCGTTAAGACCTTGCGACGACTGGATTTCGTCAATGGCTTGATCTTCGTCCTCTGCTACGGAAGACACTTCCGTGCTGTCGCTGTCTGAAGACCAGATTGATACCAATTGGTGCCATGATGGAGAAATATCCGTAGCTGCTAGTTCCTCGTCCACGACGACTGCTCGGCCGACCTCCGCCTCGGTCAGACCGCAGGGCACGAACAGCTCAGCGTTGGCGTTGCACGGCACGTAGGCAGTGTTGAATGGGTGCTCGCTGGGAACGTCGATCCAACAGTTGCGCCATGGCTCGCGCTCATCCAGTGCAGCGACCTCTGAACACCAATCAGCTGTTGTCGGGACCCATGGCAATACCTCGTACGAATACCACAGCATCGTGGGCTCAAGGATGAATTCCGTGGGAACGTCGTTGTCCACACACCAGTCCCAGAGTTGCATGATCTTGTTACGAAGATTGTCGGCACGACGGTTGCGACCAGAAAAGTAGGCATCCATAACTCGAGTCATGTTTCTGACGATGCTTGAACTGTCACCGTGGGTTTCTGCAAGACGCTTGACAGCGGCCTCAATCTCCGATTGAACAACCCAGTGACCTCGCTCCCACAGAGCGAGCCCGACGTCGCTTTCATTGCCGCCAGCGTCGAAACCATGTGTTTGACGCCATAATTTCACGGTACGTGCTCTCTTAGGGGCACGAAGAGAGATGAAGACGTCCGGCATGAACGGACTCACGTCAAACAAGTTGGCAGTGTCCGGAAACTTCTTGTTGAGGATGCGCCATGGGTGTTCAGTCTTCCTCCAGTCATCAAAAGCCCGGATCCCTTCGACCGAACATGCAGCTACTAGTCCTTTTAACACTGCCAGCGGCGTGCGGAAGGAATGTACAAGATTCCAGCATCTCAGCGCACCCTTCTTCTGGAAGTTGGGCTTGAGGTAGCGCTGCACCTTGGCCAGAATCTTCTTAGACGGCTGCACAAGAAGCAGGGAGCTTCACCACAGGCATCGCGGCCGACGGGTGCTGAGCATGAGCGGCAGCCAGTGCTTTCATGAACACGATGTGCGGCTTCACGCCACGCTGTGCAGTCCTCACCTTCAACGGGTTCGACGCTGGTCGTACAGAAGCCGGAGGCGGTGTTGAAAGCGAAGGATCCAGAGCCGACATGGGTATCGAGCGATAAGCAGACCTGGTGCGTGACGAGACACCGGTACTTGACATGTCTTCAAGATCTTGCAGTTGTAAAGCAGGTGGCGAGTCGTTCTCTTTCGTCTCTTCGTGTTCATCTTCGGAGGCTCCGCGAGGACTCGCTGGGGGTGTTTGGCCAGGAGCTCCGATAAAGACGGAGCTCTTGTCAGATTCCTGAGCGATGACTTGAGAAGTCACCCATCGTGATATCGCCGCTGCCGTACGTATGGAGCGAGAACTCGGCGCCATAGGAGACCACTGCAACGTAGACGCCAGGTTGTTTATGTTCTGAGATGAATCTGGAGCCGAAATGGGACCTGGAGATGCCGCAGACGAAATATCAGGTGAAGACGGCGATAAATCCACGGTAGAAGCCAAGGATGATAAGCTACTCGAACGGCTAAGCGCAGGCTGAGACGTAGTCTTGGCCGTAGGCGACGAACTCTGAGCAGATGCCAGAGCCACGGGAGTCAGCAAAGCTCGTAGTGGAGGCATGGGCAAGGCAGACGAAGCCGGAGTGACGATTGGGGAGAGTGATGCAAGCATAGAAGCAACAGCTGCAGTAAGTGGCTGTGACTGTGAGACTTGCGTGGACTTCTGAGACGATGAAGCTGGCACCGGAGTCACAGGGGCCGATTCTGGCGGAGTTGATCCTATGGCAACCGCTGACAGATCCGGTGCTGGGATAGAGGGCTGCGGAGTCGGCGTTCGTGTCTTGGAAGCTGACTTAGTCAAGTGCTGCATCGCAACCGCAGGTTGAGAAGGAGTCGTGGTCGTGAGAGAGGTCTTAGACGAAGTTTCCGAGCAGGATTTGGGCATCTTGGATTTTGACGACGACTTGAGTAGCGATTGCAGCTTGGGCCTCGCCTTCGACTTTGCTTTTGACTTGGATTTGGATGACAAAGAAGCGAGGCTGGCGGACTTAGCGGCTGATGCCTCCTACTAGGATGCTGAGACGACCGAGCCTTCTTGTGCTTTCCATTTGAGCGAGGGTCCGATTTATCATCGCGTGATCGTTTGTGAGAACGGGAAGAGCGAGTCTTCTTTGCCAAAACAGATTGCAGTTCCATGTCAAAGCGTTCGTCCTCATCCTCGCTCGACGACTCGCTGGAAATGCTGATCTGGTCATCGTCAGACAAATCAACACTACGAAACCGGTGTACCTGGCGAGCGAGCTCAATAGCCTGATCCTTGGCCGACAAGGATGGATTGAGATCCTTGATCGCGTCCTGAACGAGCTCAACAGCCTCTTTATCCAGCCCTAACAGGCCAATGTCCAGCTCGCCGAGTGCACCGCCTGTCAAGAACGAGCGATTGAGTTTTCAGCGTTACGTTGTGGATTCACACGGGTCAGCCCCACCTTCAGCGAACAACAACAAAGCATCTGGGTCCAGGTCACGGTCGTCGACGAACTTGCGGAGATATTTGTTGACGAGGAGAACCTTTTTCAACTCCTCCTTCAAGAGTTTCCTTTTGGCCTTCTGGTCGAGATTCTCCACGCTCTGTCCGCGTCCAGTGAGGTACCTGTGGAAGCGCTCGAGCCTGTCAGCGTAAATCCGCAGGTTCTTCTTATACAACTGCCAGTCATGATTGATTTTGCGGGACTGTGACGCTCGAGCTTCGTTGGCAGTCTCAAGGGCCTTCTGGACTCTGAGGACGACTTCGTCGTGAACCATCATCTTGGTGGAAAGAGCGGTGGGCTGCTCTTCTGCAGTAATGCGCTGCTTTGTTTCTGCAGCCAATGCTTGCTCGAGAGACGAGCACTCGGCGCGAGATTGCCTGAATCGAGTTTCCAGATCAGTTAGCTTCTGCTGCTTCTCGCCGGCCGAGCGCTGCGCTATCAACTTGGCGAGCCTCGCATCGGTGAGCCTCGCTTTCAGGTCACCAATTTCCGCAGCGAGATCTCGCGGATCCGACGCAGGATTGCTTACAGCACCCGCTAAATCGTCGACCGAAGCAGCGGCCGCGATAGCACGATCACGAGCTGGGTCTACTGGCTGTGGTGGGTTGATCACCAACTGTACAAGACATCGTACAGCCTCTGTGATGCGGGAACCGAAAACAGCCACGATCCGATCCGAAGTTTCTTCTGCAGCGTCCATCAGCAACCCATGCAGTGCGGTGCCTTCAATCTCAGATAGGCGCGGAGCTGGAAGATGCGATGATATAGCCGCCTACAACAATAGCGAGCATTCAGTCAAGATTTTTGAACCCATTGAGCAGAACGCGACAGCATTTGGCTACTTACTGAGGACTGATGTGACTCTACAGTCGCGCTGGAGCTTGCAGATGTACTAACAGCTGGCGCTGGAGCCGGGGCGCTCGACATCGTGGTAAGCGACACCGCCGGAGCCGACTTGGTCACCGAAATAGCCGATATTGCCGAACTTGGGGCCATGGACGACGTTGGCGTCGATGCCGAGGTCTGGCAGCGCGTCAACAGAGAGAACAGCGTCAACACACGATGAACAAGGTGTTAGCAAGGCGAAAGTGCGAGGACATACCGTGGAGATGGTTCTTGACGCTGCTGGACTCGACACTGACGCGAGCGAGGCCTCCCACGACAGTTGAGTTGCTCGAGAAGACATTGCAGCCAAATTCTGCCTGACAACGAAGTACAAGAAGCATCAGAGCGACCCATGCAGTTAGTACGAGGTGCCTACGCAGTTAGAGTTGACGAAACACCAGTATCTTACCGTTGGAGCCGAACTGGAGTCAGGGCCAAAGCGAAGCGCGACACAGCAATCTTCGTCGAGAGCGCGGGATGACTTGGATAAGCAGCTGGACGCGAAGGCACCATGCAGCGGGGCTGTCGTAGCTTAGCGTCAGAGGAAGACGGTTAACTCAAAGAGTAAAGGGGTTAACTCAACACCCTAATAAAGGTTAATAGATCCTTAATATCCGAA